CTTGTGCATGTGTGTGTTCTGTGTCTGTGTATGCGCTTGTATCTGTTTTCGTGTGTGTGTGTGTGTGTGTGTGTGTGTGTTTGCTCAGTAACTGTGTAATGTATGTCCTTTTTTGTGGGTGGGTTCTGTGTCCTTTCCACACTTCCATTGTGACCGAGGTTGCTGTCTAGACTGAAGTGGTGCAGCGCCGAGCTGCAATAGTAATGAACTGTCAGACAGATCCTGAGTAGAGGGGATTCAGATCAACCCACGTCCCAAATCTAGTTTCAGATCCAGATTAAATTGAATGGCCTTTAAATTCAGACTCTGATGTGGTTTCAATTGCTGTATGGTTTCAACGTGAGGAGGGGAGTTCCAAAGCCGGAGGAAAGGTATAGGCTAACACAGGATTTTCTATTGGTGAGTGAACTGGATTCACTCTCAGTCTGTTTACACTGAACTGGATTCACTCTCAGTCTGTTTAAACTGAACTGGATTCACTCTCAGTCTGTTTACACTGAACTGGATTCACTCTCAGTCTGTTTAAACTGAACTGGATTCACTCTCAGTCTGTTTAAACTGAACTGGATTCACTCTCAGTCTGTTTAAACTGAACCGGATTCACTATCAGTCTGTGTATACTGAACTGGATTCACTCTCAGTCTGTTTAAACTGAACTGGATTCACTCTCAGTCTGTTTAAACTGAACTGGATTCACTCTCAGTCTGTTTAAACTGAACCGGATTCACTCTCAGTCTGTGTATACTGAACTGGATTCAATTGAACTGGATGTATACTGAACTGGATTCTCCAAAAACAACTCTACATTCTTTTCCCCTTTGTGGTCTACCATATTACTGTGTGCGTGGTCTACCATGTTACTGTGTGCTAGGTCTACCATGTTACTGTGTGCTAGGTCTACCATGTTACTGTGTGATTGGTCTACCATGTTACTGTGTGCTAGGTCTACCATGTTACTGTGTGCTTGGTCTACCATGTTACTGTGTGCGTGGTCTACCGTGTTACTGTGCGCCTGGTCTACCATGTTACTGTGTGCTAGGTCTACCATGTTACTGTGTGCCTGGTCTACCATGTTACTGTGTGCCTGGTCTACCATGTTACTGTGTGCTAGGTCTACCGTGTTACTGTGTGCTAGGTCTACCATGTTACTGTGTGCGTGGTCTACCGTGTTACTGTGCGCCTGGTCTACCATGTTACTGTGTGCTAGGTCTACCGTGTTACTGTGCGCTTGGTCTACCATGTTACTGTGTGCTAGGTATACCATGTTACTGTGTGCTAGGTCTACCATGTTACTGTGCGTTGGTCTACCATGTTACTGTGTGCTAGGTCTACCATGTTACTGTGTGCGTGGCCTACCATGTTACTGTGTGCGTGGTCTACCATGTTACTGTGTGCGTGGTCTACCATGTTACTGTGTGCGTGGTCTACCATGTTACTGTGTGCTAGGTCTACCGTGTTACTGTGCGCTTGGTCTACCATGTTACTGTGTGCGTGGTCTACCGTGTTACTGTGCGCCTGGTCTACCATGTTACTGTGTGCTAGGTCTACCGTGTTACTGTGCGCTTGGTCTACCATGTTACTGTGTGCTAGGTCTACCATGTTACTGTGTGCGTGGTCTACCATGTTACTGTGTGCGTGGTCTACCGTGTTACTGTGCGCTTGGTCTACCATGTAACTGTGTGCCTTGTCTACCATGTTACTGTGTGCTAGGTCTACCATGTTACTGTGTGCTGGTCTACCATGTTACTGTGTGCGTGGTCTACCATGTTAACTGTGTGCCTAGGTCTACCATGTTACTGTGTGCTTAGGTCTACCATGTTACTGTGTGCTGGTCTACCATGTTACTGTGTGCTAGGTCTACCATGTTACTGTGTGCGTGGTCTACCATGTTACTGTGTGCTAGGTCTACCATGTTACTGTGTGCCTGGTCTACCATGTTACTGTGTGCTAGGTCTACCATGTTACTGTGTGCTTGGTCTACCATGTTACTGTGTGCGTGGTCTACCATGTTACTGTGTGCTAGGTCTACCATGTTACTGTGTGCGTGGTCTACCATGTTACTGTGTGCTGGTCTACCATGTTACTGTGTGTGTGGTCTACCATGTTACTGTGTGATTGGTCTACCATGTTACTGTGTGCTAGGTCTACCATGTTACTGTGTGATTGGTCTACCATGTTACTGTGTGCTAGGTCTACCGTGTTACTGTGCGCTTGGTCTACCATGTTACTGTGTGCTTGGTCTACCATGTTACTGTGTGCGTGGTCTACCATGTTACTGTGTGATTGGTCTACCATGTTACTGTGTGCTAGGTCTACCATGTTACTGTGTGCCTGGTCTACCATGTTACTGTGTGCGTGGTCTACCATGTTACTGTGTGCTGGTCTACCATGTTACTGTGTGCGTGGTCTACCATGTTACTGTGTGCGTGGTCTACCATGTTACTGTGTGCTAGGTCTACCATGTTACTGTGTGCTAGGTCTACCATGTTACTGTGTGATTGGTCTACCATGTTACTGTGTGCTTGGTCTACCATGTTACTGTGTGCTAGGTCTACCATGTTACTGTGTGATTGGTCTACCATGTTACTGTGTGCCTGGCCTACATTTACATTTAAATTTACGACATTTAGCAGACGCTCTTATCCAGAGCGACTTACAACCATGTTACTGTGTGCGTGGCCTACCATGTTACTGTGGGCTTGGTCAACCACATGCTCTGTGTATATCTACGCATCAGTCAGAATCGTTTTTGCATATAATGTACATTTTAAAATGATGCTCCGCATGTATTGATCTCTTTCCTGTCTGTGTTGTTTGCTCTCCACTGTTTGTCCACTGGGCTCTGTGCTAGTCCCCCCAGCTTGTTTATCCTGCCCTAGAGACCCGTAGTGGAGGCGCGTGAGAGCCCTCTCGCGTGCCCAGATTCACTAACAACTTCTTTGCTTCTCCTTCAGAATCGGGGTGGAATATAAATTAGTGTCCTTTTAATCAGTTTACACCCTCTAAGCACAGCCTGTTACCTCTGAAAGGTGGTGGGTGGTGTCTCCTCTTCCTCCTCCTCATCCTCCTCTTCCTCCTCCTCCTCTTCCTCCTCCTCTACCTCCTCCTCCACCTCCTCCTCCTCCTCCTCCTCTTCCACCTCCTCCTCCTCCTCCTCCTCTTCCACCTCCTCCTCCTCCTCCTCCTCTTCCTCCTCCTCCTCCTCCTCCTCCTCCTCTTCCTCCTCTTCCTCCTCCTCCTCCTCCTCCTCCTCAGTGATCCAGTAGCTGCTTCTCTTCGTTATACGTTCCTGGCAGAGGAGCCAACTGTTAGCACAGCAGAAGAACCTGTGTGTGTGTGTGTGTGTGTTCATACGACTTTGTGTTCTTATCTATTTTTTATATCAGTGTTTCTCCCCACAAACTTGTGTGTGATGTATGCTCATATCCTAACAGTCTCTCACCTGCATCACCCTCCCGTTCACTATCCATTCAACCACACACAAGATTACACACACTGTAACATACCTCTATCTTTCCAACAGCAAAGCCTCCTACGCACCGTATAACTTCCCCTCTAAGCTTACAGGCCTAACAGACATTAACAGAGTGATGTCCTTGTGGCCAAGTTTGGAGGGGATTCTGGAACATGCCAGTGTGGTCGGCAAAGGAAGAAGGGTGAGGGGGTGTGGGAGCAAGGTGTGAGGGGGCCTTGGCAGAGATGGGGGAAGGGGGAGATGGAGGTGGAGGAACGCTGGCTGAGTCGCCCATTGTGGGACAGGAGGGATGTGACCCCACGACCTCTCACACAGAGAGGGATGTGACCCCACGACCTCTCACACAGAGAGGGATGTGACCCCACGACCTCCCACACAGAGAGGGATGTGACCCCAATACCTCCCACACCGAGAGGGATGTGACCCCACAACCTCCCACATAGAGAGACATCTGCTCTCAGACATTGTGTCATCAGGTCGAGATAAATCCGGTCTCTCCAACTCCCCACTGCGGCCTGTCCACAGTCACACCCCCGCTGACCGGCTTACATGCCCTGCACGTACCCTGAGTCCTTCACACTGGGGCTGTGTGTCGAACATCGCTGGGTGTTATAAACGAGCACTCACACTAAGTGTGAGAGATAGAGCTGGCCCATACAGTCTCGCGCACACAGACATACACACACATACACACACAAACACATGAATGTTCACATACCTGTACTGTATACCTATTCGCATATTGAGTATTAATATTCAGGCAAGAATGCACAAACATGCATATCTATCTGACTCTATTACACACACACACAAACACACACACACACACACACAAACAACAAACACACACACACACACACACACACACAAACACACACACACACAAACAAGTTTGCCTGTGGAACACCTCCAGCAGTGAGCAGAATTAGGCTGTCAGTCAAAGGGACAACCTTAAAAGGGCACATAACCCCGGAGGAGACAGAGTTGAATGAAATATCACCACACACAAACGCACACACACACACACACACACACTGCCAAATCACTTAAGGCAGCCCAGCATTTCCAAACAAACTCATTCACCTGGACCACACACAGTCCGATACGCCAATCCAAAGGAACCCAAACAAACCTAGTCAACACACATTACACACAATATCCTCCTCAAAACAATATCATCCACAGCAATTCCTCATCTCTCCTTCATTTGTTGACCTGTGTCCGTTTTGTCTGTCGTACGTCCTGTGGATCACCATCACCACCGTCTCGTAACTCAACCCATCTCGTTACCGCAATAACAACCCTCACATACCTCGTCATGTTCAGTGGGGAGAAAATAGTTTGAAACGTGAGAGTGAAATCTGACCTTGTCCAATATGTACACAGATTTCAATTTCCTGTTACAAAATGTTTTGCGTCGGTGTGTGCCCTACTGACCATGATCCGACTTCCTGAACTTTGACCCGACTTCATGAACATTACTGTAACAACAAACTCCCTCTGTTGTTTGGCACCAAAACAGGAAATGTTCACGCCGGAGTGCAAGTTTAAGGAGTCGGTGTTTGAGAATTACTACGTCATCTACTCGTCCACTGTGTACCGGCAGCAGGAGTCCGGTCGGGCCTGGTTCCTGGGCCTCACCAAGGAAGGCCAGGTCATGAAGGGGAACAGGGTCAAGAAGACCAAGCCCTCCTCACACTTTGTCCCCAGGCCCATTGAAGGTAAGGCATCTGAATGTGTCGGTCATCTCATCTGTGTTGTTGTTTTTTTTGCAGGTTCCGATCACCTGGAGTAAGCCGATTAAAGCCCTGTATGGTGAAATCAGGGGTCTCGTTTATAAAATGTTCTCACGCACAGATTTGATCGTACATTGTGCGTACGATGAAATCCACACGGTAACATTGGGATTTATAAATCTTGAACTTCACATTGGAAATTTCATGAGTTACTTGGATTTTTGCATGAAATGTCATGATTTATAAATGAAACATGCTTCTATGTGTTATATACAACATTAGCAGTGTATACACATTTGACAAAATTGCGTTTCCTCACACTGGCGAAAAAATGTTCCTCATGCCAAATTGCAGTATAAAACGTTTTATAAACAAGGCCCCTGGGAGATAGTGTTGGACCTATGTTGTCAAATCATTTAGCTGCTTTTGATTTACATTGGAACCAATGGAACCAATGGAATACTCACAAAAGTGGATAATGTTTTATAATTATGTCCAGTAATAAATCATTTCATAAGGTATTTAGAAATGGTCTGCCCACCATTTTTGTAAATTTTTTATTCACACATTTTTAAATATCAGTAAGATAGTTACTTTTTAAAGGTCCAATGCAGACGTTGTTTTTATATCTCAATATCGAATCATTTCTGGTACCTTGCTGTGATTGTTTTCCATTACAATAGTCAAAAAGAGAGCAAGAAAAGCTTCTTAGCAAAAAACCATTTCTCAAGAAAGAATTTAGCTAGGACTGCCTGGGAGGGGTTTGAGTGGGGAGGGGAAAACTGAAAATGAGCTGTTATTGGCAGAGGTTTGGAATTCTCTTTCTTATTGGTCTATTAACTAATTTACTGCATGGTGATGGCATTTACACCATGGATGTCATCAAAACTCCCTCCCGCCAAAACAGCTGTTACACTGAAAGGGCATTATCATCATTTTCACAATTTCACAGTATTATTTCCAACGTCAGAGTGTGGAAATATATCTAAAGCACAGGAAAATGACGTTTTTAGAGTGTGGAAATATATCTAAAGCACAGGAAAATGACGTTTTTGGACTGCACTGGGCCTTTTAAATGATTTATTGCTGGTTTATAAGATAATGTATAAGCTGTTTAATATAGATACTTATCTACATTAGACTAAAGTATAGTTCTTAAGAAGCACTATACTTTATAAACTGTGTATAAAGGACCTGAGTAACTACTCTTAAAAACCTGGACAATGCCATTAGTAGGCATCCCAGCAGTACCTTATACTCCACCAAGGTCTCAAAATGACCTAAAACCAGGGGTTGGAACTGGTTCAGGGAACAGAACAGAAAACCGGAAAATAACAGAATCTTTCAAGAAACCAGAACCAGAACCGAGAACGAAAGTGATCTATACTCTTCCGGAACAGAACCGTATTTTAAAAGCATGGGAACCGGTTAATAACGTTATTTTACGTTCTGGGTATTTTTTTTCCAGTCCCACAAAAAAAATGCAACAAAGCGCCATACGCAAAACTCTCACCTGAGTATGGTTACATGCGCACAATAATGTGATTATTGTGAATAGTCAGATTAATATAATAATTTGATTAAAATGTTTACATGCTTTGCAAGAAAAATGATTTCCCTATTAATCCTGTTTACATGGACACATCTGAAATCCGGCTACCTGATGGCACTGATAAATGCAGAAGATCTGCAATCAAAATAGACGTTCTACCACAGCGACCATGTTATTTTTGGGAAGCATATTTGATTCTGAATTCGGACATATACAGTTTGTATGCGAAAACTACTTCTAAGACGCATACATTCAGTTGTTCCAAACACACTTCTCTCGTGCTAAAGAGGGAGGCTCGCTGGGCTGGTGGTAGCACATGAGCAGATCAAATACACCGCTGGAACGCCATTTAAGGCGTTTACATGTAATTCAAAGATTGCTCAGAAAACCAGGTGTTTTAATCACCGTATGCTTACTTTGATTTTGATCTTATACCAATTTAAGATAAGCAGAGGAAGGTGGTTACATTACTATTGCATAATCTGTCTACTGCCATAAATCAGTTTAATATTGAATTATACCACAACATTGTTGAATACTCGTTTCTGATTGGCTAGAAGGGCATTCTAAAATGGACATTAAAAGCAGATAACAGGACAGTTGGAAAATATATTGGGACACCTTGCAATCATGACGCAATATGCGCTGACATTACAGGCGTGATTCAGAAATTAGGGAGAGAGATTTTTCGTTAGAGAACAATGGATTAACTTTTTCAATATCAGTTAAGGATACTATAGTCATCACGTTTCACATTGGATTTATTAACTACAAAAAGGTAAGACGTGTTTTTATTTGAATTCTGGTGCCTCTCTGCACACACAGCTTGTTAGCTAGCTCTGGTCTAGCTCTTAAACTCAAAGTGGCATTATGTGTAATGTAATGGAACTGAGAGTCATGATCAAGGGCTAGCTCTGGTCCAATGTGAGTTATGCCAACTCTCTGAAGTTCAAAGACATTCAAAGTTCCTTCATACAGTGAGGGAAAAAAGTATTTGATCCCCTGCTGATTTTGTACGTTGGCCCACTGACAAAGACATGATCAGTCTATAATTTTAATGGTAGGTTTATTTGAACAGTGAGAGACAGAATAACAACAAAAACATCCAGAAAAACGCATGTCAAAAATGTTATAAATTGATTTGCATTTTAATGAGGGAAATAAGTATTTGACCCCCTCTTAATCAGAAAGATATCTGGCTCCCAGGTGTCTTTTATACAGGTAACGAGCTGAGATTAGGAGCACACTCTTAAAGGGAGTGCTCCTAATCTCAGTTTTTTACCTGTATAAAATACACCTATCCACAGAAGCAATCAATCAATCAGATTCCAAACTCTCCACTATGGCCAAGACCAAAGAGCTCTCCAAGGATGTCAGGGACAAGATTGTAGACCTACACAAGGCTGGAATGGGCAACAAGACCATCGCCAAGCAGCTTGGTGAGAAGGTGACAACAGTTGGTGCGATTATTCACAAATGGAAGAAACACAAAATAACTGTCAATCTCCCTCGGCCTGGGGCTCCATGCAAGATCTCACCTCGTGGAGTTGCAATGATCATGAGAACGGTGAGGAATCAGCCCAGAACTACACGGGAGGATCTTGTCAATGATCTCAAGGCAGCTGGGACCATAGTCACCAAGAAAACAATTGGTAACACACTACGCCGTGAAGGACTGAAATCCTGCAGCGCCCGCAAGGTCCCCCTGCTCAAGAAAACACATATACAGGGCCGTCTGAAGTTTGCCAATGAACATCTGAATGATTCAGAGGAGAACTGGGTGAAAGTGTTGTGGTCAGATGAGACCAAAATCAAGCTCTTTTTTATCAACTCAACTCGCCGTGTTTGGAGGAGGAGGAATGCTGCCTATGACCCCAAGAACACCATCCCCACCGTCAAACATGGAGGTGAAAACATTATGCTTTGGGGGGGGGGGGTTTCTGCTAAGGGGACAGGACAACTTCACTGCATCAAAGGGACGATGGACGGGGCCATGTACCGTCAAATCTTGGGTGAGAACCTCCTTCCCTCAGCCAGGGCATTGAAAATGGGTCGTGGATGGGTATTTCAGCATGACAATGACCCAAAACACACAGCCAAGGCAACAAAGGAGTGGCTCAAGAAGAAGCACATTAAGGTCCTGGAGTGGCCTAGCCAGTCTCCAGACCTTAATCCCATAGAAAATCTGTGGAGGGAGCTGAAGGTTCGAGTTGCCAAACGTCAGGTTCGAAACCTTAATGACTTGGAGAAGATCTGCAAAGAGGAGTGGGACAAAATCCCTCCTGAGATGTGTGCAAACCTTGTGGCCAACTACAAGAAAGATCTGACCTCTGTGATTGCCAACAAGGGTTTTGCCACCAAGTACTAAGTCATGTTTTGCAGAGGGGTCAAATACTTAATTCCCTCATTAAAATGCAAATCAATTTATAACATTTTTGACATGCGTTTTTCTGGATTGTTTTTGTTGTTATTCTGTCTCTCACTGTTCAAATAAACCTACCATTAAAATTATAGACTGATCATGTCTTTGTCAGTGGGCCAACGTACAAAATCAGCAGGGGATCAAATACTTTTTTCCCTCACTGTAGAAGCCACTCCCTTCGTAGGTATAATTCTGTGTGCCTAATTCAGATAATGCATGTCATAACAACAAGATGCCCAGCGCTCTCCTCACCCGCAAAATGTCAGCCCTACACTACACTTGTCTGTCTAATGTATATACGTAGCTTACCCGCTCCATAGCAAGCTGTTCTATCCATTGGTGAAGTAATTTAATGTCGAGCTAAATGTTTAAAAAACTTGATTTAAGAGGTTTAAAAATGAACAGAAAGGAGCAATATAAATTGTTATTTGTTTGGGGTTCGAATCGGTTCAGAACTTTCTTTTGCTGGTCAGAGCAGTGGAACAGAACTAAATATTATCGGTTCCAACCCCTGCTTACAACATATCAATGGAGAAAAACTAAGCACCCAACACAGGACGTTGAATATTTAAGGAAATGTATTCAATATTTTATTTCAGAACAGGTTCCATGAGCAACTTCATACACTCTGTGGGAGTCCCTGAGCTCGATCTGACTTTGTCTCTCTGTCTGCCCATCTATCTCCTCATTATTTATCCTCCATGTTCCCCTCTGCTTCCTGCTTCCTGCTTCCTGCTTCGTCCTCTACTACATACACTGTCTGCAGTGTGTATGTACAGGGAGCCATCGCTGCATGAGATCGAGGAGAAACAGCGCTCCAGGAAGAACTCAGGGACTCCCACCATGAACGGAGGGAAAGCTGTCAACCAGAATTCCTAGCAGCAGGGCCCCAAAGGTGGGGGGGGCCACTAGGGGGCCCTGTCCCCCCTCTCTTAAACAGAGGGGGGAGGGGCCACAAACCCCCCTCACCACTATGCCCTCTGAAGGGATGGACCGCCACGAGGGGGAGGAGCTACACCCAAGACCACGAAAAACTCTTGCCTGTGAAAATCTTTTAGACGAATATCAAGATAAACCCAGAGGGAAACAAAAAAAAACGACAACAAACATTTTCAATCAGGACTTGACCTACGTTTTATGCAAAAAATAAGAAAAAAAGCTGTGACAAAGAAATGGTGGTCTCTTCACAATACAAATATCTATCGTTTCCAATTTATGCTGTGAAAAATTCGCTTTAAACGCGTTTGATTTCCCATGCATTGATTTTATGAATGCTATGGCACCCTCACATGCTTAATTGTGTTACTGTTGTCCAATAATAATAATATTATGTATGTGTTGATAACTCATCATCCCAATTTAGTATCATTGTTATTCTGTTTTTCGTTTGAGACTGTAGAAGTTTGAAAATGTTTTTATTTATTTATTGCGTGACAGTGAATGCACTTTTACACTGCATACACTGGTGTGAGGCTAAAAATGTAATGTGTATGAGAGCTCGCTGGTGGGCTCGGAAGGAACAGGTATGGGTGGGTGGGTGGGTGGGTGGGATGGGTTTTGCTCAGGTGATGTCCTTTCGGTGAGGAAATACGTTGGGTAGGTCTCAATACTCTTAATTTGGAGCCCTTTCTGATCTCCTCACACTCTCTGGTATTACAGGACTAGAAAACTAAAAGCAATATAGCGGCTGCTCCACCAAGCCTCACAGCAGGCCTCTACCATATTATGGTGCGTTCGAGTGCTGTCGGAAATGTGGAAATACGAGTTCCCGACTCGGAAATAACCACTTGAATGACCCTCAAAGTCTGAGTTAGAAGTGGGAAACCATGGTCCTGAATGAAGATACCCGAGTTCACGAGTTGTGACATTTCATCACTGACCCTTCACCTTTTCAACCACTAGATGGTAAAAGAAAGCAATTTACAACCCTAACCATGTGATTCATGTAGCTTAGTGGATCCATACAGTATATAGTTTGACACATTGTCAACGTAAGCAACGTTAGCTGGATTAGCCATCTAGCTAGGATCTCATTGGTTGAAGAGTTATTCCGACTTCAGTAGCACATGAGCGCACTCATGCCATATTTACAACTTCACCAACTGGGAAATACGAGATTCCGAGGACCACTCGAACGCACCATAACTCTCAACGATCCAGTCCTGTCAACTCAATGGGCAGGAGGTAAAAGCCTTGTAATATCATCAGTACTCTGGCAAAGTGTGTATAGGCAGGAGGGAAAAAGGTAGATAGAGTTCAGGTTGTTTTTGTTAGGTGAACCAGCACTACTAAGGGTATTTTTCTCTAATAAGAACTGGGTTGGACAATCGTATGGGGAAAATGTAATATTCTCTCCAAAAAACAAGAGGGAAACTTGTCTAGCATCCGCCAATCAAGGATTCTTTCATGATTACTTGGAACAGGTGTACTTCACCTCTGTATGCGCTTTGACAAAGACTTTGCGCTTTGTTCAAAGTGATCAGAGAACGCTTTTAGTCGGTACAAAGAAATCATGAACATGTCCTTAGGAAGGCAAGTTGTGGCTTGTGTAAGTGCAGGACAAAGGCACAGTACCGTATGCGTCAGAAAATACATTTGTCCCAATACTCTTAAGAAGCTTCCTCTCCTTCTGTCCTTATCTTCGTTATCAGTACACTGAGCAGACTAGAAATGTCACAATAATCTGTTGATGGCGTATGGCATATTCATTTCATAAAAGTAGTCTCTTTATATCTTTAGATATAAAAGGTCAAGGAAACAAATAAAGGAAGCCTTTTAAGAGAATTTTGGACGAAGCCCCTGTGAAACCCTCCTCTTCCATTGTTAGCATTTCACCTACGATACTGAACTCAATAACAGGCTACCACAATGCAACGGGAAGGAGGCCAGCCATCCAAAATCCAGGAAAACAAACATTTGGACACCGGAAGGTGCGTTTGCCTTGAGAGTCTGTAAATATTTCCCTGTTTTGTACTTCCAGGCTGGCATCCCAATGGCTTCCATCACAGTAGGGGCTGGCATCCCAATGGCTGCCATCTCAGTAGGTTTGGTGAGCCATTAAATGAGCCATTTGCTGCATTGTGGAAACGAGACCCCGTCATTTCATGAATCAAATGTAGAAGAACGGCTGTATATACAAAGGAGAAATAGGGTGGTCAAACCAGTTGGCAAGGCATGGAGGAATCCCCCCCCCCCCCCATCACCAAGATAGACAAGTCACCTGTGGAGGAGCAATCCACTGATCCTATCGTTCGTCTAACTCAGGAAGTCCCACTCCAGTCCAATGAACGGAGTCCGACAACAAGGCGGGCCACCCTTGCCCAGCGCCCAATGCACAAAGCCTGGCCAAAGGTGTGGTCTTGGGGCGGTTTGGTCGGGGTGTTGGTGGCGAAGTGGGGGGTCTGGGGGTCAGGCCAGGACATGAGTTAGGGGATGTCAGGGTGTCATGTCAGACACATCCTCTTCTAACTGTGGCAGGTCATGGCAGAAGACCAGCACAAGGTATGGCTCCGTGCCGGAGAACTGAAAAAGGACAATTCACTGTCTTCCACTGGGGTCAGGAGAGAGCGGGCTCAGTTCTGCAGTAGCTGATCCACTATAAGTAGCAAACAGGCACAGATCTAGGATCAGCTTACTCTCCCTCAGTTCTAACCTTAACCATTAGGTCAACGTTTCCCGAACTCGGTCCTCTGGACCCCAAAGGGTGCACATTTAGATTTTTGCCCTAGCACTACACAGCTGATTCAAATAATCTACTCATCATCAAGCTTTGATTATTTGAATCAGCTGTGTAGTGTTAGGGCAAAAACCAAAATGTGCACCCAGGGAGGGCCCCAGGACCGAGGTTGGGAAACACTGCATGAGGTGGTGGATATATCCTAACCTTAACCATGAGGTGGTGGGGATGCAAAACTGACCTTAAATCAGCATGTACAGGCAACGTCATACTCCTTGGCTCAAGTGGGGTTGGGAGGGGGAGTGGGAGGGGGAGGGGAGGGGGGGGGGAGGTTTGTAGATAGAGACGAAGCGATGGATGAAACATGGAGAGAAGAAGGAAGGATAAAAGAAGGGCTTGAGAAAGGGCGTGAGAGTAAAATAGGGGATATGGGAGTGAACAAAGAGAGCACTTTGGGACAGAGGGACTGCCCAGGGGCTCAATACTGTGTTAAAGGGGATATATATTTATTTTTCAGTTTGCAAATGATTTAACCGTAAATGAAACACCCGCATTTATGCATTATGAATTGTGAGGTGAAAAAAAATGCACTGATATTTAAAATCAGAATGAAGTTAGTGATTGTTTAAGAATAAAAATACGTTATCAAAAGCTTTCACCTATTTATTGTGCCGCTGTGTTCTTGTTGATAACCTTCTGAGTCCACTGAGTCCACTGTATTCATAGTCCCCCCCCACCCCCCCTTGATGCCCAGTGTCAAATCATTGAAGGTGATTTATCATGTCATTCAGGCTCTAGTCCAATGTGTCATTTTGGGATTGCGCTCCTGCGCCCTTAATTCTACTGTTGTCATGGAAACAGACTGTCTGCAAAAAGAATGAAGAGGAAGAGGAAGGTTGGGGCTGATGGCTGCTGCACAGAGGGCGCTTTCTTTCTTACTTCAGTTTCTAGTTTTCTATTTGAATTTTCTCCCTCGTTTTAGGTGAGCACCTAAAAGAAATGCAGCACTTCAACAAGGGATGCGTGTATACCCACAGACTCAGAGAGAGAGAGAGAGAGGGGAGAGGGAGAGGGAGGGGGAGAGGGAGAGGGAGATCAACCCAATTATCACTCTCACAGCTCCCATACACACAGGCACACAAACCTCTCACAACAGCTTCACACATACATACACACAACTCTCACAAAAATATTGTGCTCTCTCTCTCTCTCTCTCTCTCTCTCTCTCTCTCTCTCTCTCTCTCTCTCTCTCTCTCTCTCTCTCTCTCTCTCTCACACACACACACTTCAAAGAAAGCTATTTTATCCCAAGGCTCTCCCTGATGCAATCATTCTGAAGCTAACCTCATTTCTATGTAATATTTGAGAAGTATTGTTACAGTCTACAGAGCTGAATAGAGTTGTTCTTTTGAAAGTGTTTCAATTGAGCCAAGACAAAGTCCAACTCTGGTACTGGAACCAATTCATCAGTTATTACTTTGTTAAAGCGATAGTTCATTCGAAAATAAAACGTTTGTCAAATGTTTACAAATCTTTAAAGGTCCAGTATGTAGCTTTGTGCGCACCCGACTAAATACACATAGAAATGTGAGTTATAGACCTGTAATTCTCATTGAAAGCAAGTCTGATAAGCGGTAGATATGTTCTATGTGCGCTATTTCTGCTTCCCCTCCTTAAGTTTTGCTTTTGTGTCTTTTTACTTTATGGTTTTGTACACCAGTTTTAAACAGCTGAAAATACCATATTTTTTGTTATTGAGCTAAATATTTCACAGCAGTTTAGAGGGTACAATGATTCTCTCTATATGCTTGTTTTGTCACATTAACTGAAATTAGGCGAACATGCTCTCTGTCCCGTGCAATCTTTTGTTTAGATCCAGCTACTGTTATTACTGTACCATATGCCTCAATCACACATGAATAGGAAATATAGGCACCATCGAAAGGCTCCCGTTTATTTGGGATTGAGGCATATAGCATTACATCTCGGCATTGGACCACTCTTGAGAAAGTTGTCTGAAAGAAACTGACAAACCGTGTTGAGTGAACTGTCCCTTTAATATCACAATTCACAGAAAGACAAGATCTATAATCTGTATAGGAATCTATGCTGTCCTTTTTAGCGTGCCTCCTGATAAACCTTTAATAGGCAGAAAACAGCTCACGGACAACAAACTTTTTTCTGTAAGTGGAAAACAAAGTCA